TTAAGTATTCATTTAGTAAGAATTCACTCTCTGGCTCTCGGCATGTTACCTCGCTGCACTGTTACAGTTTGTAGTCTCTCGATTTTTCGGTGCTAGGACTATTTAAGTATTCAATTAGTAAGAATTCACTCTCTGGCTCTAGGCATGTTACCTCGCTGCACTGTTACAGTTTACTTTGCTAATGTTCAGGCATGCCTCGCGATGAACCTAATTATCGTAATGTTAATTAATGTTGCGCCTGAAGTAGAAAAAGTAAGTAAAACGACGTTTATACCTCTTACTAACTAAGTTTTTGGTCCGCACTGTAAGTTCCGGACCAGGATTTTTCCCCTTCGATTTATTGAAGGAGAAAAAAAACGAAGATCCGTAACTTACAGTAGGGACAGAGAAGACGAGGTTAGTAAGGTAGTTATTATATCTCTACTGTGTGTCTGACGGGTTCGGGAACGATTACGGCTTCAATTTTCTGACGCACGTAGAAAGTATCTAACGGGTCAATATGAAATAGTCATTAAGTCGTTAGCACGTTTCAATACACAATTTGAACTAAAAGAAAGTTTGAAACTTTTACTTTGCATGCTATAAAAAAAGTTAAGAATTAACACCCGGCGATAATTCACGAAACATTTTAACAACAAGAACAGCTTTAGATTTTAACGGGCCGTACATCAGTAGAATACGGCCTGCTAGATTGACCAATTACAGCGCGTGTAGTTGTAGTAAGTGATCACATACGGTATAACAATTTTAAACAATTAGATTATGAACTCGAGATATATGAACTTCATATTGCGAACCTTATAGAGATCGAGAGCGAATAATCTAATTGTTTCAGTGGAATTCTAACTTTAATAATATACATGAAAAAAATCACTCGATTCTGATTGGCTGAGAGCAGTGCAGTTCAAGTGTAACACCAGTGCAAAAAGTGTAACACCAGTGCAAATTAGACATCGTAATTCTGGATTATGATTGGCTGAAAGACAATAGGAAATTTTCGAAGCCAATGATATTACGTAAAATGATGAGGAAAATTTTGTGCAGAAACTTTGAAAAAAGTTTTCCTGAATGAGAAAAAAATGGTTTCAAGAAAGGTCTTCCACCACTTCCTCCACGCAAATTTTTTCATTTTTATATTATTTATAAGTAATCATACGGTTTTTCTCGTTCAATTTGAAATTAATTTGCACTTGTGAGTTTTTGAAAAATCTGAAAAACTCACTTGTGCAAATTAATTCCAAATTGAACTCGAAACCGTATGATTACCTATACAAATTAACGCAAATAACGGTTCCCAAATTTTTCTCTACGTATTTTTGGGTATAATAAACTTCACGCTTTAACAAAATCGCACTGACTGAATTGTCATTGGAAATTTGCAGTTGTTTACGCGCGCGCACTCGTTTTTCAATAATTACAAGATTTTTTAAGTCAAAATACTGCAGTTAATGAAATGACAGAAAATTTTTGACGGGCGAGTACTATCCATCCGGGTATTTTCCTCGGACGGGCACTATGGGCTGATGGTGTCTCTCCGCAGATGAACACTATCGCGTCACGTGATCAATTTAAACCAATAGGAATCGGGGAAAATTTAGTGTTGAACTATAATGGCTGATAGTGTACGAGTAGCTCAGCCTATCAGATTGCAGTATTTGCATTAATATACTATACTAGCTAGTAGAATTCTACTAATGGGAGTTATTGTCCAATCGATCTCTCTTCGGTTATAGACCCTAGGCGTTTTGATACTGATGACTTTGTAACGGAAATGATCAGAAGGGCTTAAAATT